CAGCTATTAAAGTTCTCAGTGGACAACAAAGAGGACACTAGACATGTTCCTTCTTCATACAACCTCAAGGTGGCCTCCAGGAGCACAATCACCAAAGATGTCAGAAGAGCCAGGTTTAACATACCTGCATGTTTGTACATGTGTGTGTATGCACGCACAAACACACCCCTACACACACACATTTTTTCCCATCAGGTCAACATCTTGCTTCCCTTCTTTATCTTCTTTATCTGTCCCTTAACAGTGAGCAGAGATTTCAAATGTGTCTACTTGAGGACTTGAAATTTGGGGATTGAATGGGTTAGAACACAAGTACCCAAGAAGGAGAAGTGAGAAATTTCAGCCTCTGATCTTCACAAAGAAAATGAAATATTGTCAAGACAAAACCAGAAGGAACAAAGACATCAAGTGTGACAAATATGGGCCCTCCCTGGTGATACAGCAGGTTAAAACACAGCACTAAGAAACTAAAGCCACTTCCGTATGAGTTCAATACCCGCCTGCCCCGGAGGTGACCACATGGCCAGCAGACCTCTCCTGACCTGCCCGCTGCTCCCCTCAGCAGTGTGCTTCATCGATCTGCCTGTTCTGCTTCCTACTCTGTCTCTGGTGAATCCTCTCACTGCCCCTGCATCTCTAGCCTATACCCCAGTTCTGTATGCATAAATAAATAATTTTTTTAAAGTGACAAATATCAAAAAGTTGGGTGGGAAAAGATTAGTCATATCTATTGAACATAAATCTTAAGAAAGATCCAATTTTTATGGCACACACTGGAATGTATTAAAGTATAAGCTGGAACTCAATCTAGGGAAAGTATAAATACTTATCAATTCATAGACATGTCCATTGATAAAATAATTTTATTCATCCTTTATTATAAGACCTGTCACTTACCCAGTAATCAAGGAAATTTAATCAGAAATCATAAACAAATAAGAATTCAGCCACTTCTAACCCCTTTTATTCCTTTTTGTGCTCTAGTTATCAGGTACTTCATAGTTTTCCCTTTATAATAAAATATTTATTTATTGCATATCCTCAATATTCTATAACAATTCTCTAGTCTTGTATAATTCATTTTTCATAAAATTTTTAATAATTAAAAGATGGTGGAATTTATTTATTTGAAATAGACAACAGACCAAGTTAGAAAAATAAATATTTGGAAGGCTGACTGCATGCTATTTTCAGGGGTTTTTTTCTAATTTCAGTTTTATAGGTAAGCACACTTTATAATGAAAGTTCTTTTTGTGCTAAACAAATCACATCACTCTGGGTGTAATTCAAAACTAGCTAAATTCTACTTTTAGAAACTTGTGTTTTATCATTGATATAGTATCAGTTCATATCTGTCTTTCAAAAGAAGATCTTCAGAACTGTCATAAGTGAAACAATTTCAAAATTAGGAACAATTTGCTACACAGATTGGTTATAAAAGTGCCTTTGTTTGGTCCCTTCCTGGCAGTGCAGCAGGTTAAAGCACAGCACTAAGAAGCTAAAGCCACTTCAGCATGAGTTTGATCCAAGCCCCCAAGGTGATCCTCAAGGCACTGCAGACCTCTCCTTACCCGCGCACTGCTCCCCTCAGCAGGCTACCCCATCAGTCAGTATGTTCTGCTCCCCACTGTCTCTGGTGTAGCCTCTGACCGCCCCTGTACCTCTGGCCAGTACCCCAGTTCTGTATGCACAAATAAATAAATCTTTTTAAAAAAAATGCCTTTGTTCTATCTCCTTTGGAGATGTTTAAAGAGTAGGAATAAACCCCCATATAAGATTTTAATGTTATATTGATAATCAAGCAAAATTTATTTCTGAAAAACATTATGGTGAAGAAACAGATGGAAGGAACTGTGAATATGTGGGTGGGATGAGATGGACCAATGGTCATCATGAAGAGACTGAAGACCAAATCATTAAGATGAGAATCACCACACCATCCCATGTGAGTGGGGTAGCTATTTGAGGAGTTCAGTATTATATTCAGCAGTGAAGGAGAAAAGACTAAAAGAAAATGACTATGATCGTTGGTTCCTGGCATATGGCAAAAGCTTTGGGAAATGCAAAAAAATGCAATTCCCTACTGTAAGCTCATGCATAGTACTAAAATATGAATTTATTAAAAAAATGTGTGGGTGCTTCCAAGACCATTTTGATTTCAACCTCTGTGCTGATTCTAAGTGCTCATCTCTGACTAGGAAAATCTGGACACTAATCATGATTCAGATTTGTTATATTAAAACTTATTCACCTTTGTCTATTAATATCAGAGCCATGTAAAATTGAATTGCAAAAAACAAACAATTTTAGTCCCAACTTGTCACCACTCTATGTTGACAACCACCATTTTACTAAGGACACAATTCTTACCTTTTTCAGCAACTTTTTTACTTGTTGGAAATCACATTGGAATTAAATATTTTTAGCTGCACAAATGCATATATTAAACCAATATTAGTCAATCCATCCCCTCTATACCTCTAGGTAGTGGAGGGTATTTAGGAAAGGAAAGCTTTTCAGCAGTCAGTGCAGAATTTTATAGATAAGCCCTACCATATTCTACTAATTCAGAAAGTAGATCTTACCAGTGGTTATGATTTAGTCAACCATTGCAAAGCAATGAAAATTGGCTCTTGCAAACTTCAGAATAAAGGAGTTTACTGGAAAACTTTGAGGAGCTCTGAAAATCAATATAGGCTAGAGAACAAAACAAGAACTAAGAGCTTCAGATCTAAGATACAAGAAACAAAGGAAATGTTCTAAAGAAAAAGATCTTTTCAGAGGCACCAATGGAATAAATAGACTCCAACAGAGTCCAATCTATTCTCTTTCAGATAAAAATTCAAATTTCAAGGAGGCCACTTGTCAGTACTTGGACAAGGGCTCCTGATCAGCAAAACCACAGAATGAAACAGGCAAGATAGTAGAAATTTGGAAAAGTTCAATAATCTTGTTTAAATTCCCCAGAGCCTAAGTTGAAATTCCAGCAGCTATAAGAGCTATAATAATAGATCAACTCCATTTCAAAAAACCTTTGGAATAATTTTCACAGCACTTGCTAGGCCCTATCTAGCAATCAGCTCCTGCCACTAAACCAAACACATACACAAAAAAGCTTCGGAAAACAGAATGGGCTAAAGTCAGACACTAATAAACAAACATCTTATTCTCCCAATAATCAAAATCACTTAACAAATAACAAAAATTAATAACTTATATATGTAAATTATGCATATATATGTACAGATATATATAGATAGACATATACATATTTGCAGTCTACTCTTAGGCACTGGGACTTTTGTATGAATTACCTAAATGAAGTCCCACAAAACCCTGGCTACATGTACTAACACAGCCAGTATGATTATGTAACTTGGCAGAAATCTCACAGCCCAGGCAATCTGCACACAGAACCTCTGCCTGCACTGGATAGGGTTCAGTCACATGGATTGAGTTTTACAGATGGCAGAGAACAGACATCATAGTTAGAACCATGACATGTGCTAAAAGCTCGTTTCTGCCACTTACTAACAGATGGCAAAAACTTAAACCTCTTTCACCCTCAATTTCCTCATCTTTGAGGTGGGGAGAGTTCTATCAGGGTCAGCATATGTTGTGTAAGGTCACATGGCTGTTATAAAGAAGAAAGGGGAAATATATTTAAACTATTTAGCCACAAGTACTTGTCACTTCAGAAATGCTGACAAGTGGATGGTGAGTATTCATGATATGTCTCTCTCCCCATATTCTCCAGGCCGATAGTGATTACTCTCGTATGTGTATCCTGAGCACCTCCTCTGTGATAAGAAAATTAACAAACTGATGCAAATATCTGATGAACAGAAAGCATTTGTACAGGGTTAGAACAGAAAGCATTTGTACAGGGTTAATACTGCCATGTTGGGCTCCAGTGTCATCATGAGTTCCTCTGTATTAACAAGACAGCTTCCCACCCCCACCCATTAAGCAAATGATGTCTATTTTCCCTACTTCACCTCCTGCCCCTACATATGAGCTTCATGAGGTCAGTTTCTGTGTCTTTTTTGTTCTACACAGATGTTAATGCCTAGCAGAGTCCAGCAGGTAGTAGAAACTTAACAAATTATCTGAGGACAAATCTTTAATAAACATTTGTGTCTTAAAGTTCACAAAGCACTTACACAGAGAAGACACAGGCCCTACTGCCAGACCACTAAGTACAAACACCAGCTTCACTATTTACAACTTTGGGGCAACATATATGAGTTGTCAGTGCTTTTGTTTACTTACCTGTAAAATGAGACTAACAACAGTCTTAGACCTTGTGAGTATCAAAATGTTAATTAGCAGAAATTCTCTAACGTAGTAACTGGCACATAAGTATTCTTTAAAAGTCAACAATTATTCATCTTGTTTGTGATTGTTTTTCTCCCACTGTCAAGAATGAATTAACTGCCTAAATAATTTCCCCTGTAATGTAAGAAACTATGAAAAGTAGCATCTTTACTTGACCATCCTAAAATTAATTTTCAACAAATCAAAATCTTGCGAAACTGATTTACAAACTTCTACGCAGAAATGAATTTACATGTAGAGGTTGTCCTTAAAATAAAATAATCCTAAATCGTATTCAGATCTTCTGCAGTGTAATACTCTTTCAAACCATTTGTCCTGGATCCTTTTCCATCAACATTATCTTTCCACAACAAGACTAGCCTATTGACTTGAAAAGTAGTGCTCGTTAAGTAAACATGTATCTCTCACACAGACACACACACACAGACACCCACTCACACCCTCAGACACTCACACAGAGGCACCAGGCAATGGAATCAGATCGTGCTGCCCTCTACTTCCCCACAGCCTGTTGCCCCATTATGGCCAACGTGTGTCCACTCCAATATGCATCTCCCTGTGACTCAGAGCTTGAAGCAGGTGACTGGGTGACACATTACTTCACAATTCTAATCACCATATTCAACCACTGATGCTTCTCTACATTTGGATACTTCATTTACCTTCAACACTGTAATGTTCCAAGCAAAACTCTCAGTTGCCTTGTTCAGTTTTCTTCCTTTCAAGCCTTCTTTTGCCCCCAGATTATGAAGTTCCTCATGAAACTCCATCCCTTTGAAAAGAGAACATATATGAATTCTTAGCATAAGTACCAGAAAATGGTCATTTATTATGGAAATGTTATCAGGGAAAAGATTATTTCCCACTTCTGTGCTTATCTCATAGTTTTCTGTGGTGTAAAACTAAACTCACTTTAAAATCAAACTCTCACATTCTGTTCATGCCCATCAATTGGCTATTTTAGGGACAAATTAACAATAACCAATGCATCAGATTAAATTAAATTTTAAACAGTCAGGATACATAGGAAAAGACATGAGATGTTAATCAAATTTTCGAGCAGGTGATATCCATCTTCTTTGTTCTTGTCTGACTTTTATATGAAATAGTATAATATGTGGATTGCAAAAATATGTGGTAGGTGTACATAACTTATTTTGCCTTAGGAAACATCCGTATGACTTGAAAGTAGGCCCCAGAGCCCATATAGATAACAACAATAACTAGTAGCTGTTGATTAAAAATATAAATTTTTAAAATAGCATTCCTGGAAACATCCAAATGTTTCAGAAATGGAAATGGCCTTACATTATTTTTAACTCAGCCATTTTTGCAAGCTTGAATACTATAAAAAAATCACCATCATCTGTTTTTTCGGCCTCTATCTTAGCACCTCTGGGATGGGAGTCACACTTTCTTCTGGGTAGTTCACTCCATTTTGGGAAAACTATAACTGAAACTGAGCCAAAATCTCTTTCCCTGGAACTTCTATCCCTTGGTGCTAGTGACACCAGAACATCAATGTCTAATCTCTCTTCCATAAAGGATCCCTTTAGATGTTTAAAGTAAAGCATCAAAGTCTACTACATGTTGTCTTCCACATATTAAACATTCTAACATGGTTCACCTTACCCATAATGTTTCTTCCTTAAGGATGACTCCAGAAAAAGTCCCTGCATCGTGTGGTTTTCCAGAGCTCAGCTACTAGCGACCTCTCTCCAGGAGCATCATGCTCAAATAAGAAAGGGGCTTAGTACTACTTTCCATATTCCAGTTTCTATACTTTTATTAATGCAGCCTAAAGCCACGTTGACTTTCCTCCTGCAAACCTCACAAACAGAGCCTGCTGAGAGTGTGATTATGGAGCCCAGGCTCCCACTATCAGCTATGTGAATATCAGCAAGTCCTGTAATTCTCTGAGATCAGGTACCCTAATCTATGGTGAAACAAACTCCATTTATTTAACAGGCTTGATACACAGTAGGTGTCAAATAAATGTTGAATAAGTGCATACATTTTTTTAGTACTAGATCACATTCATGAGCACCTAAGAGGTGCTCTCTTAGCTTAAAAGCTACAGTAACATAAAGTAAGTGGTAATGGATTAACAGCAATAAGAGTCAGAAAAGAATTGTCTTGTGATGCGCTAAAGAACTACTGAACACCTCAATTAAGTTGGCACCTTGGATTTGAGTGTTTCCCTCATGGGACTGTGGTGAAGATTGGATGAGTTAATACCATTAAGCTCTCAAAGTAGAGCCTGGCACATAGGAGAATTATATAAAGTATCTGCTGTTACCTTTGTGCTCTCTATCAGCTGAAACAAGCCTTTGGTTAGCCAGTGAAAAGCATTGTTTTAAAAATTAAATCTGGGGGGCCTCCCTGGTGGCACAAGGGTTAAGACACAGCACTATCAAGCTATTACCAACCACTGCAGCACATGTCCAATCCCCAGCCAGCCAGGGAGGTGACCCACATGGTGCAACAGACCTCTCCCATCTTGCCCGCTGCTCCCCTCAGCAGTGTTATTTCAGTGATCTGCCTGCTCTGCTCCTCACTGTCCCTGGTGAAATCTCTCACTCCCCTGCACCTCTGGCCTACACCCCAGTTCTTATACTCATAAGTCAACAGATATTTTTTTAAAAAATTAAGCCTGAGTTTAAAGGTCATCTTTACCACATGTTGATATGAATCATTCACTCCACATCTAAATAATCCCAGATGCCTCCTCTGTAAATTGGGTATAATGATGCCCACTGCTAGAAGTGTCATGAGGGCTTAGCAGCAGAGTGCATCTGCTTAGTGCATCATGTGCACAAATGTCAAGCAATGATCACCTTGCTCATCATGACCATTATCATTATGATGTATATGAATGAATGAGATCCAAAGATGTAAAATTACAGAAGTGTGGGTGCAGGGAAACAAAATAAACAGGTATGTGTCCTCACAGATATAGATGATTAACAGGATTATGGCTCCAACTGCAAAAGTGAAGACATTCTTCAGGGCAGTTGGGAACCACAGCTCATAGTGGTAATAAATAATTTGATAGGCTCCCAAACCACAAAAGTAGATTCTGAAACCCTCATCTCTCTAGATATCTTCAGATACTGTTCCCTTTTATACACTTACAAATCTCTACATACACCTACTTTTGCCAGATTTCTTCTGTACTAAGCACTCAACCGTAATTGAAAGGATAGTTAAATAATGGCATAAAACATTTGACTTTCCCAACAGAAATGTTTTTTTAAAATCTGTCAAGAATTATTATTATGGCTTATAAGCAAAAAATAAAAAAGTATATAAAATATTACCTGCTTTCTGACACTGCACAATCTTTTCCTGGACTGTGTCTGCCATTTCTATGAGAAATCGGCTCTCTTGAATCATCTGTCACAAAATAAACATCAAAGAGGTAGTTGTCAAAATTTTAATTGTTTCACTGAAAAAGGTAAGATATAGAGAGATCTGTATGTTGCTGCCACTATGGGGAACCATGAACCACAACCTTAATCACAAGAGATGGGAGAGGGAAGGATGATCTCGCCACCTCTCCTCTAACACTGCAGCTAGTCACCAACATTAAGAATTTCTCCACTTATGACACAAACCTGATACTCAGTAAGTGTCAATAAATAACTGTCAAATAAGTGCAAAAACATTCTTTTAGTCATAGAACACACTCCTGAACACCCCTTATTTCTATCATCCCAGAAGTTACTGCAACATCAAAGTAAGTGACATTGAGTCAGTAGCAATAAGTCAGAATAGGGAATTAATTGTCTTGTGATGAGCTAAGAACTACTGAAAACCTCTGTGAAGTTGGCACCTTGGACTTGGGTGACCCAAAAATAGCAGAAGTGTCGCCCTCTCTCTAGAAGGGGTCCAGCTCCACTGGGAGGAATGAGGAGTGGGTCAGATATCAGAGCCATCAATTCAACCATGTGTAGGCAATAACACTAAAGTGGTTGTCCTGGACCTCTACCTTTGTGTAGACAGCAAATATGTCCAAGAGGTAATTAATATACTGAAGGACATAAGAGCACAAGGTAACTTATGGAGATATGGAAAAAAGAAAGTTATATATGTGATGATGAATAAGTAAAGGAGCTATGTTTAAAACAAAAAAAAATAAGATTGAACTTTTTTGAAAAAAAATGACTGAAGGAAGACAACAATTCCTGACTCTCTAGTCACTTTTCTATTGCCAATAAATATTGTCCTATTTCACCTGGCTATGACATGTTTAACGACCTAGCTTAATATTCTGAAGGGAGTTTAAGAGTCAACCCAGAATATATCATAGGTCTTAAGTAAGGCATTTTCCTTCAGTCTAATTAAATACTATGGAATACATGGTAGTCTTGTGTAATCTCTTCCAAAAATAAAGTAGCTTATGAGCTATAAATTTTCAAGTGGAAAATAATATATTACACATTTTTAAGACCTAACAACTCCTTGAGAGTAAGGTCATATCATTCTATTCACAAATACTGGATGAACAGCCATTCTGTGTAACCACTCTGTGCTAAGTATAAGGGGCACAATGAACTGATGAGGCAAAAACAGACCTAGGTCCATCTCAACATAGTCTAGCAGAAATATCTTCTCCATGGGTGAAAAAAATATGCTCACTCAACCAAACAAAACTCAATTAACTCACGACTTCTATCTGAAGTGATAAAGGGATTTACTTGGAGGGAAAATTGACTTTTAAAACCATAAAACTAGACACCTAAAAAGGTCTGACTGAATCAAACTATTGAACAGGTTTAAATAACTCTGTCAACTCCAAAAGAAAATAGTGCTTTGGAAAATTAATTAATCAAATACCAAATAGTAGTCTGAATTACTGAAGTGTCCAAGTAAATGAAATTTACAGGCAGAGAGGAATTTAATGTGAAGACAATATGATTAAGTTTCTTCTAAGCTTAGCATTCATACATACAACATTAACTGGGTATTTATAATAACTACAAGTAATCAATGCCCTAATTATGCAGTAGCAGACAAAATATTTTAATGAAATTCAGGCAAGGGAAACATTTATCAAGAAAAGGTACATTCTATGACCTCTCCATGAGAAAAATAGTTGATGTACTATATAACTTTAGAATCAGTTAATTTTAAAACGAAGAGATTTTAAGTGATTGTAACCCCCCTCTTCATTTTATAAAATAAAAAACTAAAGCTTACAGGGGTTAAAATTCTTATCCAAAAACAGAGCTAATTAATCATAGGACTGGAATTAAACTCCTAGTTTCTTGTCACCACTTATCTTCATGAAAAGCTCCACCTATTTTGACTGACCTGGCCAAACCTCAGGAGAGAATGCATATTTCACATATTTTCAATCTTTTGAACTGAACTATAGAGTTCTAATGTCACCTTGCCCAGACCATCAGAAAAAAATAGAAAAACTTGACCATAATCAATCCATTTCAACCAGATTTAATCATGTCCCTTGTAAGAAAAACTCAGAAAAGGAATAAAGTTGATGATTTAATTTAATAGTATCTTCACTGACTGACAATTTGCATTTGCTCTAAGTAAAGTACATATGCTACCATTCTATGATTTAAAGAAAAACATCCTTTATTGATTTGTGGTTATTTTTCTTCATAGTATTTTACAAGTATCCCCTCTGCATTAAGCACACAAAAATACGCTTCCTGCATTCAAAAATGCCACAAAATCCTTTAACAACCTCATAATGAAATATCACATTTACTGAGGTTAACTCTTCATTTTAGTATCAAACCCACCTATCTCTTCTTCTCCCAGGAGCCCAATCCAAATGACCCCTGCTTTAATTAATCTTTAATCTCTACCTCTCCCATGGCGTCTTCTCTTCTCCATACAATATCATCTACCTTAAAATAAGCAAACAAAAATGATAACAGAATATTCCATTGGTTTTTGAGTGGCTGTCTTCACTCTCCTTCATCAAAGCTTAGCCCACAACTGGTGTGGCTCATCATCAACTGCCCCCTGGCCAATCATTGGTCCTTCTTTTCTTCTCTATGCTTCTAACTCTCTTTTATACTGAGCACTGAAAAATACAAGCATAAAGCTTTTAACAGGATTATCCTTACAGGAAATATAATAATCAAGTATCAGAATATAAACTAGCTTCTTAATTTTGTTTCCTATGTGAGATAAAATAAATTCAGGGAGAAGATATACAGTAAATCCTATCATCCAAATTCTCTTCAAACACCCCCAAATAAAAATTAGTTAAACCCATACTGTAAGAAGTTTCTGTTCTTTCCCATTATCAAATATATCACTTCATAAAGAGATAGCCAAGTATGATTTAAAGAGCTAGTCAAGGGTCACAAAGTATGCTTTTTTGATTCTTTGGAGGAATAACTCAAAAATTTAAAAAGTCAAAACTTTGACATGCCCCATTATTAATATTCTTAGATCTTAAAATTATTACTCAACAAGCTTTTCATAAGAACATCTGCTCATATCTATAACATCTTCCATTAGTGTATAATATGATTTCTAATTATTTTCTACAGTCAATTTCAAGTACTAGTAGCTGTACAAAAAATAAGATGGAAGATGGCTGAAATGTATCAATTTGCAAACCACGCTTTTCCTCCTAGTTAAGTAAATTTATCTAAGTTGTTAGGAAGAAAAACTGGTTTATTTGAGCTTTGTATCTCCTTCCTAGATTTCTGCAGATCCTGATGTAGATGAAATATAAAGTGCAAATGCCAAAGCGAGATGTGAGACACGCCCTCAGATAATTCCTCAGCTAGGGATCAGTGCACTTAACCATTCAAGGCAAGGTTGATGCTATTGAATCTGGCAGTGGCTTGATAATCCATGTCTGATGGCTCAGCCTAAGTTCCCAGTTGCCGTTGCTAGTAGTAGTAATACAAAGAGCTTTTCTTTGGTTCTGTCACATAATTATCTTCTAATGTATCTTATTATACCCTTAGTATGATTTTGAATCTAAAAGACTAGAGGACTTGCCACAATAAAGGTCAGCATGAAGTTAAGTACTAAATGTGCCCTAAACAGGTCATTGACTTGTTAGTTAAGGTAAAAATTGAGGGCATATAAACCTTCCACAGAGGAAGCACTCTAAAATCCTTGCTTATTGATATCCCTCTGATACCCAGTGTCTTTGGGAAATGAGTATAGATGGAACTTTCAATCCTCACAATGCTAATCCCCCTATTATACATAAAATGTATCAGAAGAAATTGTTGCACCCGTAAGTACTAAAAGACATCTTGTTTCTAAATGACATGCCAGCAGGGATTTTTTTCCCTGGGTTCTATTATTGTATAAGCCAATAGTTTTTGAGATGCACACTAATGCACAGTTTACACATACTTCACGATGAGGAAATGATGAATGTAAAGAATCTTTAACTTACCTAATTTTGATTTCAATTTATTTCAATACGCTAAATGACAGTGGGGGGACTATTCATATACCTACACCTTTTTCTCAGCCTGCAATGGTAATTACACTGACATTAAGAAATAGTCAATCCAACTCTTTATGCTTGACTTAATTGTGATACCTGCCAGACTATCATTTCCATTGCAAGAATCTTGCTCAACTGTTCCCCAAATCACAATTAATCAACTGTTACCCAAATCACAACCCTTAACTGATTTGGTGAAAGATTAAATAACCCTTGACTCATGTTCTCTAGACTGTTTTGAATTTTAATCTTCAAAAATGTTTCTCTTACTATAGTAAACGTTAACTTTTATGTTTATGTTAAATAATTCAGCACAGACGTCACCTTCAGAAAGCACTTTGTGTTTATTTTTACAGTTGCAATCACCAGTAACTTCTCTACCTCTGAATTCTATAATTAAAACTCTAATCACCCCATAAGTTTAGTGCACTTAAAAAATTATACAAGTGAGGATAATATAAACATAAAAATTCAACTATTTGGGGGCCCTCTCTGATGGCACAGCAGGTTATAGCACAGCACTAAGAAGATAAAGCCACTTCACCCAGAGTTCGATCCTGCTCCCAGAGGTGACTCACAAGTTGCGACAGACCTCTCCTACCTGCTGCTCCCCTCAGCAGTGTACTTTGCCAATCTGCTTGTTCTGCTCCCCACTCTGTCTCTGGTGAATCCTCTCACCATCTCTGCACCTCTGGCCTGTACCCAGCTCTGCATGCATAAATAAATAAGTCTTTTTTTAAAGTTCAACTATTTAAAGAAATATATATATATACAGGTTAGACAATATTATTCTTTTAAAATTAGTTGCAAATAAGATTCTGCTGTGCACAGTGCAAATAAGGTAGGGGATGTATTGTTGCATGTCACTGTGAACAGAAGCCAAGGTCCTTAGACTCCAACTAGTTCAGGACATGAAAGATTGATTACTTGATCCACTCTCTGACCCCAGTATGCCTCTTCTCTTTCCCCTTTTAAGGTTAAGCTCTGCCTCATTAAAGGACTTCCCATTCCTCCTAGACAGAAAGTTTGCTTCATACCATTTCTTCCCCCAACTCCTTTTATAGTACCAGGTATTCCAAAATGTGTTTTTTGAATTGACTAATCAAAAACTTAAAGACACACACAAAATAATACATCAAAAAGAATGTGTTGTTTTACAAATAACAAGTGTATGTGCTCTCATTGCATTTTACTTATATTTCTCTTGAGTCAACAGAGTTTTATATAATTTTTTTTTGTGCAGATACCTGTTTTTGTTCATTCATTTCTATATTGCACAGAATCCACTAAATTTCTTTATACATTGTAATGTATTGTATGCCCTAAATAAAGTTTAAAAAAAAAGTAGATCTTTTCTTAACAAGGTCAGTTTTGTGAGTTGTAAGGACAAAACAGTGGACTAGGCTTGATGGGGAAGGAATTAAAGCTAGGAAGGCAGATGGTGTAGAACTGACAAATACAAAGGATGGAGAATACAAATCTTGATGGAAAGAGAAGTTTAAACATACAAAAGTGGGAAATGATGTGTCAAAATAGGCAACATTGATGGGTGAAGCCTTTGCAAAACTAGATACAAATTACTGGAATTTAAAGATGACTATTCCAGACATTGGGATAGGGAAAGGTAAAGATGAGCTAGAGGACTTTAGAACCTGTTGAAAATTTCAAGCAGGAGAAGAGAGCCTGGTGAGAGAGCATTGGCTGTATCAGTGTAAAAAAATGGCTACATTCAAGAATGATCATGAGGAAAGACACAATGGATCTCACTGATACTGAACAGAAAATAAAAAGACCATATCAGAATCATTATGAAGACGGGGCATTTGAAATGTTCTGGAGAAACTGAGACCTACTGGCATGGTGGTATCCTGCATAACGGTCAGAAAAGCATGAACTAGCACTTCAGAAATAAAAGACAAACCCATTTTTTAACTTATTAAATTTCTGTTATTCTTGAGAAACCCAAGTATTGCCCTGTAATCAAGTAAGAACATAACTTAAGCATTAGAACTGAGGGTACAAATGGATTTCAAAAATATTAAGTCTATATCATAAACAGACTATTGTAGAAAAGAAACAATAACAACAAAAAAACAAACAAACAAACAAACAGGATAAGGAGTTTCAATTGTATTTAAAATGGGATCTTAATCAAGAAAGTGACATACTGGGATTTAAATGAGTACTTTGGACTAGCAGGCTATTTTAGGAGATCTCTTTGAAATAAATATAAACACTAATACACCAAGAACATTAAAGAAGTCAATTAATACAGTACAAATTCTAGACAGTACAAACGGCATTTTTATGTTCAAGGCCAAGACACCATCACATATATTTGTCCCTCCCCACCTCATGCCCTAAAAGAGAACTAACAAAGTTTTCAAGTATTTTCCATCATTTCCACAGGCCACTGAGCTTAAAATTTGGTATGGGGTAGTTATATTCAATTCCCTACCAAAATGAAAATTCATTTCCATAAGAAACTATAAATTAATACATCATTAAAAGTAATTCTGCTTTCCACTGTAGCCTTTTACCAAAAGCTTTGGAAAATCACTCTAGGCCTACAATTACAAATTGCATTCTTAAAAAAAAAAATGAGAAAAGTCAGTGTTCAGATTTGGCTCCAGTAGCTAAACTGAGAACACAAAACACTATCAGACACTTGGGGATGTGAAAATGGAAACTGGCCAATCATGGTCTAGGTGTTTTTCTGCTTGTTATAGGCCCAGCTCCAGGGGACCAGGCTCCCCTCTCAGAGAATGATTTTTCTTTCTTAGCTTAAAAGAGAATTGGAGGAATAAATGATTTCCACTGTCTGTCTCTATGGAAACTAGTACCCTAATTTCACCTCTTAAATGGCAATTACACCTATTCACTGAATAGCTTTCAGTCCCTACTTTTTATGATGGAAAAATTGATTTCATGAAAAATGAGATGTAGGTAATATGCAAACTTTTCCCTTAGCAGCCATGAAGCACAGTTTAGGAGTTATGATCATTTTAAGTAGAATATTCTCTGGGATTTTTGTCTCTTTCAATTGTGGGATATTCACTTCAAATGTCTTTCTTCTAGTCATATTTTAGTAATAAAATATTCTTCTTAATATTTATTTGTATTCAATTATGAAAATTTGTTGGGTTCAAAGACCTTGGTAAGTAAAGAAAAAATATAGAAAGGCATAAACAAGAAAATCTATACACTTCTAGTTATTTAAAAAAAAATAATGATTAACATCCCAGTAGCAGTTTAGATGTATACATATATAAATACAATTTAAATTCTATTTTTTGTGACTAGAGTTTAACATATATATATTATGAGCTATTTTCCACAGCATTAAATATTCTAACATGATTTTTGTGACTTCAAAGACATCTATAAAATGGTTTATTTTATTTAACTCATTTCCTCCAATATTGGCATTATTAAACAAACAAATGTTTGTGTGTGTGCGTCTATCACTATTGACTGAAATAAATCCTTGGGAAAGAAATATATCAATTAAATGGAATAAATATTTTAAATTATATTGCCAATTTTTTTCTCCAAAAAGTCCATACCAATTTATTTTTCCACTAGAGGTTAGTTGGATGAGAGTATCCATTTCCTGATATTCTTTATCAGAGGTACTAATTTTTTAAATGAGAATTTGATGACATTTATGATTGGTAATTTGACAGTCATTTTGCAGCATGAGGATAGGGTCAAGCTATAGGGATGGTGAAGTAGAACATTACATAGAACTTTGTAGAAGTTCTATCCTGGGTGCCTGGTCTCCAGAATTTTTCTCTTTGGTCTCAATTTTTATGTGAAAACAATAGTCATCATGTTAAGCCCTGATTGGCTTTCCATTATTTGTTTTATGAAGCTGAATTTAATCCTGCTTAATACAAGATTTTTTTCCATATAGTTTTCTTTTTTTTTCTATTTTACGGATATTGATATTTTACCTGGCATATACATTACAAAATCTTACCAGTCAGTCGTTTGTTCCTTAAATTTTCAATAGATTAAGATTTAATTTTTCAATGGATTAATAACTGTATTTCAAAAATATAGTTATTATACATAAAAATATAATTGAATAACTATAGAAATCATGGAACTATACTTTGCCCAGATGGCACATCGCTCCACCTCCAGCACTTCTAGGTTTACACAAAAGTATATTCATTAATATCATATCCTTAAGGACATAATTTGTATCATTATATTTGAAAAAGTCAGTTAACTGTATTAGCTTAGAAATTAAATTCCAGAGAAAGTTTGTCCCTGCGATCATAAGTCTACTTCCTATATGTATGCAATTAAATGGTTATATAGCTGGCTAAAGACATTTAGATGATGAGGAGCTGTGTATTTTCTGGAAAATTTAATTCCTTCTTGCTAAAGCTGACTGACTGTTTGTATTCTGTAGAACGGTGGGTTCAGAGCAGTAAGAGTTTCACGCTGGTGCTTAGGAGAAGCCAAGTTAGCTGGTACTGCCTGCCACACCCAATTCAACTCTCAAGTAACACTCTGCATTATTCACTAGAGTTCTACAATATGATTATACACATGCACAACACATATACATGCACACATCAGAGTCATAATTTCCTACCAAATCATAAGCAGCCAGCATCTTTTTCTGCACATCTGGGATTGCCCCCAGAGGCTCCAGATAAGGAAAGTTGTCTTTCATCACAAGAGAGACTGAGGGGGTATTGTCGCTGGTGATGAGCCGAGAGGACAGGGTGAGCAGGCACTGCTTCAGACTGGCAATTGGAGGAAGTCCACACAGCTCCTTAACAGACACTATGGCATTCTGTGGGGAAGAAGTCATGAATTACACTTTGCCCACATGGCATATCACTGCCCACTCCGGCACTTCTAGGTTTACGCGAAAGTATCTTCATCAAAATGATACCCTTAAGGACATACTTCATTTGTAGCAAAGTGAATTATAATCAATCACAAGTGCTGTGATATGCACAGAGATAACACAGAGGGCTAATTCACTGTTTCATCCTTCTCGGTTTTTAGCAACTGTCACAAACATGTCACAAAGTAAAGCAGACGGATACCCAAGGCTATGCTATGCCTTTCAAGGCAAAAACCTAGAATATTCACACAAATTCACACTGGCTGTGCATGAATATCTTATTTGATTTGCATCAAGACACTCCTAAGAATCGTGTCACTGTGTGTGAGAGCATCTCCTCTGGACTCTTCCTCTCAAGGTACTGGCTGACATTACTCATCACTGATCACTTGACTAACCGGAAATGGCACTCCTTTACCATCCTACCAGAAGTGCACTTTCGAGACAGCATTCTAAAGCACACAGAGCTACATTTGTCCATGTTGCAGGCTTTTAAAAATTTCATTTGAAATAAGCCATTTTCTTACTTAATTAATAAGAAAATTAATTAAATTTTTCTTTCATTGTTATTAATTTTTGGCTATTATTTGATTTCTCCCCTCAGGTGCAGTCTGGTACTTTTCCCATGATAGCACCCATGGTCACCACAGCCTCTCATGCACTTCTTCCCCTGTTTTGACCCCCCTCTCTCTCCCTGCTCTGCTGTGTATCTCACATCTATGGTCAGGCTGCAAGTTCTGTCTTTTTCGTAACCTTTTGTTCAGTTTCTATATTCTAACTATAAGTGAAACAGGCTATTTTGTTTTATTAACTGTGACATTACCCAACTTATTATGTATCTCATGGATTTATTAGCAATAACAGTATTCATTTTTTCTGGTGATTAGACTCCAAATACTCATTAACTCAAAAGACTTTAAAGAATGAGGACATAAATTATCAGTGCAATCTGAATAATTTTAACCTGCAAGTAAAATGTAATACAAGTGCATATTCATATATACATATATAATGAGTACATTTCAAGAAGTATGTAGAAACATACAAAATCTATTTCTTATATGGTAAGCTCTAGAACTGTGTCAGGAAGAGTCAGGTAAAAGGTGTTAATATTTGGTGTCTATTTTTAACTTAGTGGCTGAGGCCTCCCACCTCAAGTTGAGTGAATCTAAATATTTAAATGCAATTTGTATACCTTATTATTTTCTACTGTTTTTGACTATTTAAAATAGATTTTAAGCTAATCTAAGAATGACTCTGAAAATAACATAAAAAAAGTTTTCATTAATGTTTGGGGTTCAGCATTGCATCGCTAAAATCCAGGAATTATGGGTTTTCGTAAGAAGAAATTTCTAGACTTAAAGCCAAAAATTGCTATTAAATAACTGCAATATTTAGTAAAGTACTCAACCTCTTCAAACTTGTTTTCTATCTTGGAAGCAGAGAATTTTTAATGATTATTATAAAATGTTAGATAAAGGAGCAATTCAAGTCCCTTGAAGAATATTCCTCTCCTCTTTTACTCTCACACATGGAATGCTGCTGCTCAACACCTCTATGCACACTGCAAGAGCCTCACAAATATTTATTATCTAATTGCTTCTTGGACATATTAGCCTAGAAAAAATATATTAAATAGCACTAAACACAAAAGTTTTCAACCATTTCTGATTACAATGAAGGAAAATATTATTAAATTTTTACATGCCCAAACTATGCAATGTATGAATGCTCTTACTTTTCATAATAACCCTGTGATATATTACTACTTATGTGGAGAAAACTGATGATGTGATACATGAAATAATTTGCTCAAGATCACATGGGTATAGAGTTAAGTCCAGTATGTATACGCTTTATAGCAACAACAGAGAAGACTAAATATGGAGGAATAAAACTGTGACCCCAAAGTTACAGAGACATGTAAAGTCCTGAAAATTAATAAAATAAACTTTTAAAAATAATTTGCAACAAGTTCAGTGCTAAATTGTATTTGTTTAGTTTTGTTTGCTCTTGAGGGGAGTAATTTACTATTGTTGCTATACATTTAAATAACTAAAGTTAATTTAATAGGCATTACAAATTTCAAATTTCATATTCATATCTCCAAATATTCTACATATGTAGATGCTCCTATTTAGTATGTATGAGTAGGCATATAATTTGCTGTATCACACATGCATAGAATACTTTACATTCTATTCTTTCCATTGTTTTGGATATACATTCCCATAATTCAATTTGTTATTCATTGGATCTACAGCATTTTGCTCCACTGATGCTCCATTAACTAACTGCCTTAATTCAGCCCAAATTTAACACATAGCATTTACAATTAAAAACTAGACAGACAGACAGACAGACAGACAGACAGATATCTGCTTTATTATGGCAATACTGAACTTAGTTCAGAGGTACACAACCTTTCCCATAATTTTTGGTGAATCCGATCACTAGTAAAACACAATGTTCTCTAGCACAAGGAATAAGAAGAAACAGGAGTAGGAAAGAAAGAGTATGGGATTTTCCCCCCTACCTGCATATTTTCTCTCATGTCTATGGCTTCTCGTAAGGGATGAACTGCTATTTTAAAGATGTCATCTATGGTTTTAAGGCCGATATTCCTGAGCATGGTGTACTCCCGAACTTTCTTCCCCATTCTCACTGAAAGGCTGCGCTTCTGTGCCTTTCCTCCGCCACTTCGATTTGTTATTGCTATGTGGACAAAAAGGGTCACGTGCTCCATGATGTCACCCACAAAGGAACGGAGGGGAACATGCCGATATCCAGGCTGCAAACATTCAAAAGGTATTGTATACTGCCCTATAAACTCGTCCCCAATGTAGTCATCATCCAGAACAACAAAGCGAATCATGGCCAGTTCAGGTAGGTTTACTTGAAACTCAAACGTTTCGTCAAAAATTGGGTTATCACTGTTTTGTTGAACAGTTTTAGTTCTTTGTTCTGAACAGTCGGCTGGTATTCCATGTATCTCTATACAAACATAAGGATCTATGACATCCCCTTTGGCACAAGCACCTTTGGGCTTTGGAAAATTCTGACCACTGATGATCTTGATATGAAGAGCTAGAGGTGACACACCAGGTACAATGCCCTTGGTATTTGCACTGAAGTAAGAAACTTCATCCCGCATAATAGACGGCCTGAGAACATAACCACATCCTCCATTCTGAAGAAACCAGCCAGTGTGCAGGTCTATCATTGGCCCTGGAGTCTGAAAATTCATTGCTACAATCTGACAACCACAATTCCAAAAGTCTTGTGGGTTCAAGTTACTGGAATCGATCCTCATTGCACTTGGATAGATTCTTGATAAGAACTTCTTATTATAATTTACAAAATCTTCTGGGTATTCATTTGCAATTCGACTGGCCTCTGTTTCACTAAATGAGCAAATTTCCCAGTAGTTTTGGCTTTTCGTAGACAGTTCAAAATCCCTGTACTGAACAGATTTACAGATTGATACCAAATCAGAGAGCTCCCTACACAGCCAAATTTGTTTCTGCTCACCATTGTAATCTGCTGACATCCTTCGAGACATTTCAGCTTCTTCATCTTCGTCTGTTACTTCTCCCTCTAAAATATCTGGATCAGAAGGCAATTTCTTTCCTTTCACAATAATCATTCTTTTTAATTTTTCTGGTGATGGGAGGTAGGATTCTGATGGCAAAGGTGCTTCAGTATAGAGTTTATTTCCAAAGACCTTTTTCATCTGTTCAACCATTATCTTCTGCTGTGGTAGGGAGCAGTGATTTCCCAAGCAGAGAATGAGTGGGTATTCAGAAGCAACAAAAGCAAATTTATTTATCACCTCTAAGACACTTCGGAAGGAAAGATGTGTGGTCACATTATTTCGATTACAAACTATTGGTTCATTGTCTGAACCATCACTTACATCAAGTTCAATGCTTCGACAGCCCATTTTCAAAGCTCTAACATACCCATTAATATCAGCAGGTCCCCTGAATTGGTCTTCTATGAGATAGGTGTTGTGAGAAGCATTGATGTAGTAGTGAGATAATGGCTGAGTCATATCTTGGGCCACCTTACTTTGCTCAGGATCAAAAATGTCACATTCTGGTGACAGCAAATACTGGGTAAAACCATCGATAGCAAGAAACCCTTTTTGACGTCCTTCTTCAGAAAGTTCATACCTCCGGATAATGTCTAAACACATCTCTTCAGTGATATGGGTAACTCCTTGTTCAGCTTCTAAAAAGAGCATGAGATCATTGGCATCCAAATATTCTTTGTTTTTAGATATCTGTACAAGTAAGAAGTACACTTCAGGCCTGGTGCAAAGTTCACAAAAAGCTTCACAAAATTCTTCTTCTGTCACTCGGGTGGTTAGTTTTTCTTTGCTCTTCTGTATTTCTTTAAACTTTAACCTGATCTTGGATTCCTTCAGAGTAGGGTTGAGTTGTTTTATTAACTCTACAGAGGTATCTTCCAACATGATCCCATTCCCATCAATGTCTGCTGCTTCAAACACTGTTTTCAACCACATGAACCTTGGTGTGTTCTGATTACCCTCCATAAAATCAAGGGGCTGCTTACTTCGTGAGACCAGGTACCGTAACCCTGACACCCAGATATTTGCTACATCTGCTGAATTAGCAACTAGGTCCAGAGATTCGTAATTTTCCCCATGAAGTATGGAAAAGGCACAATCTTCACAAATCTGGTCAGCAAGGCCATTGTTTCTAAACGTCTCTGTGTTCTTCCCCAGTCTAATCTCTTTTACGGCAGAAATATCAAGCTTAGCTTTCTCAAGGTCTTTTTTGGAAGGTTCCCAGCGAAGAGCTTGGAGATCTGTGTCCAGGGTAAAAAAGCGGTTATAAATGCGAGAATTTGGTCGGACTTTCTTCAGTTCACAGCCAGCTTGCATAAAGCTGATACAGTCGCTCGCACTGCTGATTTTCTTTTCTGATGGCATGCTGCTGAAAGACACAGTTTTCTTTCTTCCGCCACATTTTTGATTTGCAGGATCCTACAAAATAATTTGAAAATCATGAATCAATTTCTTTTGGAAATAAATAAATTCAATAACACACTATAAAATCCCTATGCTCAATTCAGACATATGGTTATTTGAACCAAAGCTAGTTTAAAGTTTATATTTTCAATGTTTCAGAGGAAAAAATGTTGATAAAATTGATATTAATAGGTTCAAAAGGAAAAAACTTATTTTTCAAATGTTTGTGTGTTCCTTGAAGTAAAATGAAGTAGTAACTACAAGTAGTTCTTATTTGTTCACTAAAGCACATTTTCCAAGAATTTTTGCCTGTTATTTCCTTCACAACCTGGCTCACATTCATATAGGTATATGAAAAAAAATTAAGCTGGATTTATTTTAAAAGTTTTCCTCATTCAAGAAGAAATTAAGAAAATCATCCCATTTATAACTGTACCCCCAAGAATTAAATACCAGGGAGTAAACTAACAAGGAGGTGAAAGATCTATACAAGAAAAGCTACAAAACACTGTTAAAAAAAAAAATAAAAGAAAACATAAAATAATGGAAATATATTCCTTGCTTGTGAATCAGAAGAATATTATAAAAATGGCCATCCCTCCAAAATCAATTTACAGATTCAGTGCAATCCCAATAAAAGTCTCAATGACAACCTTAAAGGAAATAGAAAAAATATTGTTGAAGTTTATATGTAGGGCCCTCCCTGGTGGCGCAGTGGGTTGAAGCACAGCACTAAGAAGCTAAAGCCACTTTAGCATGAGTTCGTTCCCCGCCTGCCCCAGAGGTGATCCCACATGGCGTGGCAGACCTCTCCTGACCCACCCCCTGCTCCCCTCAGCAGTGTACTTCATCAGTCAGCCTGTTCTGCTCCCCACTCTATCTCTGGTGAATCCTCTCACTGCTCCTGTATCTCTGGTCTGTATTACAGTCCTGTATGTATAGATAAATCTTAAAAAAAAAAAAAAAGAAGAAGAAAGAAATTTATATGTAACCACAAAAATACCCAGAAAGCAAGAGCTCTCCTGACTAGAAGGAATAATAATGTAGGCATTACACTCCAAGACTTCAAACAATACTATAAATCCATTATAACAAAAACAGCATGGTATTGAAACAACAAAAAAAGACACACAAACCAGTGGAATAAAACTAAAAGCCCAGAAATAAAACTATACATATATGATCAATTCTTTTAAGACAAAGAGCAAAGAATATACACTGGATCAAGAAAATCCTCTTTATAAATGGTGCTGAGAAAACTGGACTTCAACATGTAAAAAAATGAAACTAGACTACTATATCACACCATCTACAAAAGTAAACTCAAAATGAATAAAAGATTTGAATGTAAGATTTGACACCATAAAATATACAGAAGAACACGTAGGCAAAACATTCGGTGACATAAACCTCAGAAACACCTTCAGGGATTCTTCTCCAGAAGCAAAGAAAACAAAGAAGATAAACCTACATCAAACTAAAAACTTTATTCTGTACAGCAAATGAGACAATAATCAAAACAAAGACTTATCATATTGAATGGGAGAAAATATTTACTCACCATACAACAGATAAGGGACTGATACCAAAAATCTATAAGAAATTACATAACTCAACAAAAACAATCCAGTCAAAAAATGGGCAGAAGAACTAAAAGACACTTCTCCAAAGAATATATGTAAATAAGCATATATGAAAAAACGTTCACCATAACTAGCAATCAGGTAAATGCAAATCAAAACCAAAAAGAGATACCACCTCACTCCAGTAAGAATGGCCAACATTAAGAAAAAAATTGGAAACAACAAAATCTGGAGATGATGTGGAGATAAAAGAACACTCTTACACTGTTGGTGAACTATAAAGTAGTCAAGTCACTGTGGAAAGCTTTGTGGAGATTCCTCAGAACATAAAAAATGGATCTGCCATAAGATCCAGTGATTCCACTCCTAGGAATCTACTCAGAACACAAAACATTGATTAGAAAGGAAACCTTTGCACTCCTACAGTTACTCAAACACTATTTATAATAGTAGATATGGAAACAACCAAAATTCCCCAAAATAAACAAGGATTAAAAAGCTGTAGTGTATTTATACAATGGACTACTACTCAGCAATCAAAAAAGAAAAATTACTTATGCTAGCCAAAATTAGTCATAAGGCAAAAGATACATACTGGATGGTCTCACTTGTACGTGGAATGTAGAAGAAACAAAGGGTCCAGAAAATGTCAAAACAAGCTGACCATAAAACTGAGACATACAGAAAAGGAAGAGGGGGCAAAACAGGAAAGGGATGAACACAAAGGAATATAGTGATGGTTCACAGGTGATGTGGTGGCAGAGAACTACAGGGAAAACAATGATGCAAGAAAAAAAATTAATAAATAAAAATAAAAGAAATACTTTTCCTCATTGATTCTTTTCAGCAGTTTTAGTTTAAGTTTTATACTTAAAACTAGTTGAAATAAAAGTTGTTTATCTCCGCATGCTTTAATCATAATGAGTTTACAATATACCTAAACATTACTATCTTTTCTCAAAATTATTTTTAAAGAATAAAGTACCTTGAAAGTCAGATTAAGAGCTAACAATAGACAAATGATTCTCACTTGAGCATACACACACACACACACACACACACACACACATATATATTTACATCATTATTATACAATGTATGCTTTCTCATTTCAGGTGTAGTTCCAATAAAATTTTTACCAGTTCATCTGTGAACCATCACCACAGTCCCTTGTGCTCTTCCCACCACCTGCATTTTATATCCTTCTGATTCTTCTTGCCTTGCAGAATGTCTGTAATATATAGTTTCCTGATATTTTGTCTTTTTTATTTTATTATTATTATTTTTTTCCTGATCCATTATTTGGTTCCACTCTGTTCCTGAGGCAAACAATTTAAATGGACATGAGAAATTCAAATCTATATTTCAATATAATACTAGCAGATTCAGCTTTAGAACTGAACAGAAATATGAGCAGCCCCATTAACTCTTAAGGTTTATCCCAATGTAAATTAACTTTCAAAGCCCCTTGCTATGTAACATTTCGTGAGGAACACTTAAAATTTGCCTGTGCCTATGGTGATGGCACATGGGTGACTGGGTGATGGGAAACTCGCAGGGATTACAATTGAGATGGAAAAAAAATGTACAAAATGATATAAAAATAAACTTTTGTAATAAAAAAAATTTAAAAAAAAATTTGCCTGTGCCTACTACTTCAAACCATTTACATTGAACATCTGACCAAGCCACTTAAAACTGGGTATTTCTTTATACATTCTTTATACATTGTAGACTCAAATTAACACTCTCAACTAGTTAACTCCCCTAGGAACAACTTTTGCCAAAGCACCTTAAGTCATGTTTATAGTATCCAACTTTATAAGCATATCAAAGAGACAATAAAATACAGTGTGCAAAGGTGTTGTCCATAGGGGAGAAATGGCCAGTCTCACATGGCAATTATCCTATTCATTAAATACATGATCTTGAGCAAGAGACTTAGTTCCCCTGAATCTTAACTTCTGTTTTAAGAAAATTAAAATAGAGCTTAACTATAGTCGTATTGTGAAGCTCAAAAGAGAAAATGCACATAAATTTTTTTGTAAATGTGTTTTTAGGGTTATTTGTTGAAGGAAGAGGAACATTTCCTCATCAGCTTGGTCACTGTAGGATCACCAGGCATTGATATGGATTTTGGGGGTCATCAAGAAATGAATACATCCCCCTCTCATGGACTTCAGAAAATCTCATGATAAACTGAAAAAGATCAGAAATATCGTCACAAGTTATTACTATTTTAAATAGTGAGAAGGCAGCCTAAGTAGCCTGGGCTATGTCTTTCATTGGCATTTTTTTTTTTAAAGTAGAATCTTTTCTCTAGGGTCTCATTTAATTGTGGCCTGCCTCTAAGAGCCTCCCTGTTCTATGATCTGGGAAAGGCAGAAGGATTTATTATTCAGTGGACTAAAACCTTGCATGAAAAAGAAACAAAATTTTCTTTAGTTTGGGAATGTTGGTGGGATGATTCATTAACTAAAGTATATATCCCATCTTCAAGTGACAAAGAAATAAATTACCCAATTTTGATTACAGAATACTGCCTCTTGGCACCCTGACATTTAAAAACATAGTTACTGCTTTTCCAGAGAATTGTTATTTTTAATTATCCCACAGTGTTCAATTTCCTCATCCTTAAATTAAAAAAGAAAAAACAACTATAAGTCTTCAGCTATTTATTCACAGATGCACTATTAGAACACATTTAAATTCATCACAACCCAGGTATTCAAAAATATCAGATGTTTGTGTGTGTTTTTCCACACAATCAAGGCAGACACATAATGCCACTGCTGAGGTGGGATTAATCTGCCAAGTAAAATGAGGGAAACTGTGAATTGTGATGATAAATTAGTTTGTGACTTGACTTTTAAAGCTAATGTTTGACTAGACTTTTAAGCTAATGAGAGCTTCCACATTAAAAATTATTTTTATATATAGTCAGATCACCTTGCAATTGTCAACAGTTATAAAACCTCTAATAATTCTTAACAAACCTAAAACATGAAATTAGTGTTCCTCTAAATGTGTAAGTTCCCGTACCTTGTGTTGATCACACAAAAACCTTCACAGTTTAACACTCTGCAATTGACTTGAGACTCTGTTTATGAGTATAAAACTACTGCTATCAAGAGTCTTCTCTTACATATCTCTTCTTTTTGGTAATATCTCCTAAATCATTATCTACTGCTTTCTTAGTAAGTTAAGCCCTCAAGACAATAATGTTTTGTATCTAGCCTACAGAAGAATCCACCAGCCCCAGAATGGTTATTTCTTGTTTTGATCTGCAATTCCAACATAATGTAAAACTTAGCCCAAAATGCCTAAAACTGGGAACCAGCGGAAAGGATATGATCTTACTTTGTCCTCTCACAAAGTACAAAATCCAATGTTATTACAAGGCCCCAAATGAGAAAAAGTAAAAACTGGCCA